CCAAGACATCTGCCAGCAGAGACAGGGACATGGAAAGGAGGCCTAAATCGGTCAGCCACAGGTAGGTATGACAGACTGGAAGAGACCTTCCACTAGCAAAGCCCAAGGGGGGCAACCTATTTGGCCCCACTGCATCCCCAATTGCAGGAAAAGTAAAAGAACTTAGATTTCTACCACGGTATCAGTCCTGGACCCTTCTTTGAGGCTCTGTATCAGTCTCTGGGTACCCAGTAAGTTTATAACTTCAAACCTTTCTATTTGTTAAGAGAGAGAAAGGTTTTCTACTGGTTCTTTCCATGCCAGACCCTCCTAGTTCCTGCAAAAAAGGGACAGGGGCTCTATTAATCCATCCTTCTTACCCATGAGACATTATATTTTGAATTCTCTTTCATGGATTGTAGAGAAGCAAGGCTGAGAGTGACCTCCAGAGGTCATCTAGTCCAACCCCCTGCCTGAGGCAGGATCAATCCTATCCAAACCACCCTAGACAAATCCATGCTCCAAACTCTTAGGGAAACTAGTCAATCCTGACACAAGACATAGCACCCTAATCTGCCACGAGTGAAGCCAGGGGACCACGGCAGCCAATGTCCTGCTGCTACAAAGGTTGTTAAAGCAGACCTCACTGCTCCATACACAGGAAGACAAACACACTCACAGTCTGTTCCTGTCTGACCATGGGTTAAAGTTTCTTCCTCACTCCCGATATGGTATCGGTCTGCCCCCGAGCAGAGGGACCAGACCACCTAGGAAGGAATCTCTGGTTTGGTTCTAGCAGGAGCACTGGCACAGCCCAGTCAAAATCCCCAGCCCTAGCTGCCACCAAGATCCCATGACTCTGAGAAAGGCTTTAAAAAAACAGAAACCAAAATTCCTGACACTTGTAGCAACAGGAAGGGAAAAAATCCCCTCCCAGTCCAATGCAGCAACCAGCAAAGCCAAAAAGCCTGGGAAATACCCCCAGGAAAACACAGGCATAGCTGTGCTAGAGCACCCCGATCAACCTCCGCTTGAACACCTCTGGTGACGGAGAGCCCACAACTTCCCTGGGCACCTACTCCACTCTGCGTCCTATTGCCAATCCCAGTTCCCGTTTCCCAGCGTCTCCAGCAGCAACATGACATTAATCAGAGCCACCAGTTTCACTGCTCTGCAAAGGATTTGTCACAGCAGAAACAAAACTAGCTAAATCATTAAAAGTTACCTAAAAAGCTACACTCTGCTGCTGCTTGGCAAAGTGCCGAGGAGAACCACCAAAAAATCGCTGCCCCTGCGCTTGTAGGCAAGGAAATAATGTTTACAGCCTCCCAGCGGCATCTTGGCAACCTTCGCAACTGCACAGTTAGGCGATTTACTGAATGAAGACTGAAATCCAGAGGGAAATAACGGCTCATCCACCCCACACCTGCCCAGGAGGGAATTCAAGTCAACTGTCCAAACCTTGACTAAATTGTTAAACCTTAACCGGTGGACGCTACCGCAGTCTGCACGCAAACAACAAGCACAAGTTAGACAGGGCGCTTTTGAGCCTGATAGTGAGCAGTACATTGGAGATCAGACGAGGCAATGTGAGCGAGCTCCAGGTATTTTCTGTCCTTGGCAGCATGGAGGCTGCCAACAAGATGGCGCGCAAGCGCTGGCTGCGGATTGAAGGTTATTTTTACTCCACAGACAGTTGGCTGGTCGGAAAGGAGGGGTTGCTGTGCACAGGGTAAAAGGAGGCCGATTCTGGGGCATCTGATGCACTATCATGTCATGGCCGATCAATGAGTTTTGACACGGCAGCTCCTCCAGTCAAAATGCTAGACGCGTCCACGCGCTGCAGGTTCCTCGCTGAAGTCTCGGGGCTTCCCACAGGCACCAGGTGTGCGTGACACAGCGCGCCCGTGAAAGGATCCCGACGCACCTCGGGGGGGAAATCGCCTGGCTGAGAATCACTGCTTTAGCCCCGCGGACACCATGTGGCCCCGTATCACCTGGTTCGCTCTGGCCCCACTGACACTGTACGGTCGCTTAATCACCCGGTTGAGAATCACTGCTCTAACCCCACTGACATGATACATCCCCATATTGCCTGGCTGCGACTCATTGCTTTATTCCACTGACATCATACGTCCCCCTACCACCCGACTGAGAATCACTGCTCTAACCCCACTGGCCTCATATGGCCAAGTATCGCCGGGTTAAGAATCACTGCTTTAGCCCCACTGACACCATGTGGCCCCGAATGGCCCGGTTGAGAATCACTGCTGTGGCCCGGCAGCCACCATCGGGGCCCCTAGAACGCTTGCACGACGGCGGCCGGGAAGGGCCCTCCCCGCGGGGACAGGTCCGCCGCTATCCCAGCAGCCCCTGCGCGCGGCGGGCGCGACCAACCCGGCACCGCTCTACGTCACAGACCCGGAAGCGTCGCGGACCGGCCTCCCCGGCCCCACCCGTTCCTACCGGCCTCCTCGTCCTTCTTGTCGAACTTTTTAATCATGTCGCGGCCACTCGCTGCCCCTCAGAGATGCGGCCACGAGGGAACTTCCCCCGGAAGACCCGCCCTGCCAGCCGCAGCAGCGTGCCTTCTCATTGGCCCGCGGAGCTGCCTGTCAGAGCGGACGCTCGCCGGCTGAGAGAGGCGGGACTCGCTCAGGCCGGGAGGGGGGGTCTTAAAGGCGCAGCGGCCTTATTTTAGAGCAGAGCCCACGCTCTCTGAGCCGCCCGGCCCAGCCAGGAGTGAAGCGTCTCCCTGTGCCTCCCTCACTGCGAGGCTGCACAATGTCGCCGTCCAGCAGTCAGAGCCGTCCTGGGCCAACAGTGCAGGGCTGTCTTCCTTGCTCCCCTTTATTCCCGTCGCGGGGCAGAGCATCCCTGAGCAGTGCTCGCCATGTCCATTCGAGGGCACGTGGCCCCCATGCACCGCCCGGGCTGGGCAGCACCTGCCCCTCCACTCGATCTGTGCTCCCTTCCCTCCATAGACTTACCTGCAGGGAGCTGCTCTCTGTATTTCCCAACCACGTGCATGTGGCACCCCCAGCTCCCACTGCATCCTGCCCCCAGCAGCCCCTGGCAGGCTGGAGCGCTTCCCGCCTGCAAAGGGAAACCTGCCGCTTCCCAATTTGCAGACACCAATCCATGATGAGCGCCATCCCGCAGTCCCGCAGCCCAGATTGGCACTTGAGGTTCCCATTGCAGGACTGTCCCACCCAGCGCGGGACGGGCGGTCACCCTAGTCCGGTGCGTCTCCCCTTGGCACTCTATTTATTAACCTTGGACCATCACTCCCATCCCTGGTTTTTTATTATTTGTCCCCAACAATCACCTTTTCTCTAGCCTCCCCATCTGAGGGGGGTGAATAGGTTACCTGGACGTCCCTCAAGGTGACAAATAAGCCTGTTTACCCTACAGTGCAAATGTTTGACCCACGCTCTACTTACTTTGCAGCTGTGAGTTCACTGAAAGTCAACGTTTTGGGGGTTTTTTTAATTTTGAAGGAAAAATTTTCGTGTCCCAGGCCAAATTAGTCAAATCCAGTGCAACTCCATTTGGATCATCCAAGATGATGTGACCCTGCTACTGGGAAGCAGCCTCCACCCAAGCCTTAGGTCTTCAGACTCTTCCAAATCCTTTGGCGGGCATCCTATGTGCAGGCCCAAGCCCAGAGGCTTGGGGTTCGGATGCCCCCGAGTTTCACTTCCCCTCAGCCGTACGGCTGCAGGAACAAGCTGAGGAGGAGTGAAAGTTAGAGGGTTTTTTGTTTTTTAATGAACATTTTTCGCGTTCCAAGCCAAATCAGCCAAACCAAAATCCAAATCTGTGAGTTAGTCAAGAACCACAGAATCATAGAATCACAGAAGTCGGGTCGGAAGGGACCTTGTAGATCTTCAGGTCCGACCCCCCGCCTGGGCGGGAGAAAAGACTGGACTCAAATGAGTC